ACTCGTGATACATCTGGCAGCTTGGATAACATTCAGGGCTCCGTGCCAAGTGAAAGAAGCTTTTCCTCTGTGTCTTCAGTGATTCATATGTAAGACTAGATCACCAGCATAGTGTTATTAGGAAATGTCATGGCCCTTTATTGGGTATTTAGGACAATGTCTATAAAGGGAATCGTGGGACTCTGATCCCATCATCCTCTCTCTCCTCACCCCATATGCCCTGCCTCTCTCACCTGAAGCTCCAAACAATATGGCCACTTGATCTTATGGCTTCTGAACCTCCAGAACTTGCCTTTACTTCTAAAGTAACTTGGATTGGGCAGTGTCTTATAGTACTAGAAAGATAACACAACTGTACTCTGAATGATTCCATACATCACATTCTGGTAAAAAACAGACCATCAGTCACCAAAAGTAAAGAAAAGATTCAAAGAATTACAAAAGGATTCAAGGAAATGCATTTGGGGTACAAGAGTTATAGAAACATTCTCTTTCTCTGATTATACTCTGTGGCCTATCAGACTCAGAACTATATTCCTGAAAGGGTAGATTTTAGCATCTGTGATTGTTCTCTAAAAGTACATAAAATATATACTGAGGACTCCATTGCACACACGAAAGAGACAGTCCCTTGTACATAGACCCTTGAGCACACATCCTGCAGGCTTCTCTTTCCCCCTCTTCCAAAGGAATAACCACTCATCTGCTCAAAGGCTTTTAATATTTTCTATCTTTAGCTGTTGTAATAGAATATAAAATTCATGACTTGCTATCTAGTTTTTTACAGGACTTTGAATCATTTATTTATTATTTCAACAAATATGTACTGGTCACCAATAAGCAAAGAACGTCTTTCTGAGTTTCTGAACATCGCAGCTAGAGGAAGCCCCAGGCACCGCCTCTAGACTGCAGATGAAGTCACTGAGCCTCTGAGTTGAAAGTCTCACACAAAGTCATCCAAGAGGTTGGTGGCAGGACCCACCAGCCAACACATGGGGCCTTAGAGAAGACTTCAGTGCCTGCACAGTGCTTAGCACTGTAGCCCCACCTTGTCCTAGAAAGCTAATAGCTGCTTTGAGAGGTAGTTGCTCAGTTCTGGGTGTGCCTTCCAATGATGGGATTTGTGTGAGAGAATGTTTCCTTTCTCTAAGGGGAAGCCCTGTTTCCTACAGTGCAGCAGCAGAAGAGCTGTGTGGTAGCATTGCTAGTTTGGTACCTAGATACAGGATGTTCCTCTTGTCACTGGCAAGCCCTGTTTTACTTTTCATCACATGAAAAGGGAGATTATTGAGAAGGTATATGAGTTTACTTTTTTCAGTTCCTTTTTTTTTCTTTAATTATTTATTTATTCACTTTGCATCCTGGAAGTCCCAAACTCCCTTCCCTCCTCTCTTACCAGTCCCGCCCTCACAAGCCCCTCCTCTCATTACCCTTCTCCTCTCTGAGGAGAAGTGGAAGCCCCCTTGGGCACCACACCCCCCTACATCAAGATTCAGCAGTTCCTCTCCTACTGACCACCACCCCCCCCCCCGCCTGTCACACAGTCCAACTAGGGAAAGAGCGTCCAATGTCAGGCAACAGAGTCAGAGACAGCCCCCACCTCCAGTTGTTAGGGGACTCACATGAAGACCAAGCTACATCTGTTATAAATTCTGTGTATTTGCCCCTTAAGTGTAGCTGGTAAAGATTCTGCCCCATTCTGTGGGCTGTCTGTTTGCTCTGTTGATGGTTCCTTTTGCTGTACAGAAACTTTTTAAATTTTAAGTCAGCCCATATGCTGATCCCTGAGGCAAGTGCCTACACAGTTGGAGTTCTGTTCAGAAAGATCCTGCCTTGCCTGTGTCTTGAAGCACATCCCTGTGTTTTCCTTTAACAGTGTCAGCATTTCAAGTCTTAAAATTGAAGTACTTTATGCATGTCAAGTTGGATTTTGTACAAGGTAAAAGATGGAGCTCCAGTTTCACTCTTCTGCAGGGGGATACCCAGTTTTGCCAGCAACGTGAGTTTAGTAGACTGTCATTTTTCCATGTTTTTTTTGGCACCTTTGTCAAAAATTAGGTGGCCTTAGCTATGCCAGATTATTTCTAGGTCCTCTATTCTGTTAACTGACCTAACCATCTGTTTATGCCAGTACCAGGGTATCTTTGTCATTACAGTCTGTGGTATGATTTAGAAAGAACTGTAAAATTAAACACCAAATGCCTTCCAGTTAATAAATGGTCTAATGAAATGAACATGAAGTTCTCAAAGGAAGAAAGAGAAGTGGCTCGAAAATAAGTATTGAGGAAAGTATTCAACATCCCTAGTCAATTGGAAAGTGCACACTAAAGCTACCATGAGATAGCCCCCTCATCCAGATGAGAGTGGCTGTCATCGATAAACCGTGGTGAGGATGTGGGGAATGAGGGGGTCCTTATTCACTGCTGATCAGTGCCAAGTCATACCACCATTCTGGAAATCAGTGCAGAAATTCCTCAGAAAATTAAAAATAAAATTACCATTCAGCCCAGTTGATAGGCAGGCACATGCGCATGTGTACACACGCACACGCACACGCACACGCACATGCGCACATGTGCACATGCACACGCGCATACGCACACGAATGAGTGAGCATGTATAAGTGTGGATGGAAGTAGAAAAGACCAAAGGAGGATGATAAAGATGTCACACAAGGATGACAAGGAAGGGTGGGAGTGGGTGACATGTCAGGCATGAAAAAGACAGAGCCTGAGAAACCTACAAGGGAAAAATGGGTCCGAGAAAGGTGAGGGGTGAACAATCAGTAGACCCCAAGAAGTAGTTTACTTCTTTAGTAGTAAACTAAAGAAGACATTTAAAATGCAATATAAAAAGAATAAGTAAATAACATTTATGGCTTTTAAAGAAAACCCCAAGATAATGGGAGGCTAAATTCCTGAAGTCATATGCAGGAAAACATAAAAGAGACAGCCCAGAGTGAGAGTGGGTAGACCCAGTGGGTGCTGGTGACCCTACTAAAGGAGTCTCCTCACGAACTGGCTTCTTTCTTGAGAGTTGAGGTCACAAAGAGGCTAAATGAAGGTCATTCTGTAGCCTCTGCTATGCCTTGTTGCTTTGGACGGTTGGTGAAAAGGGACAGATGACAGCAGCCATTGGTGTCAGTTTCCTGGTTTGTGGGACTGGTCTTCACTGTAAGTTTTTATGTATGAAAGACCAAATATTTGTGGAGAAGCATGTAGTTAGCAAGTCAATCTCAAAAGCCAAGAGTACAACAGAGATGTTTGGCCTTCTGGAATTTTTCTGTTACTATGAGATTGTTTCAAACTTAAACTAGGATTTAAAATGGAAGGATATTTCATATGTCACTCTTATAGAGCCAAAGGCCACCTGTGGCCTTTTTCTTTATAGCCCCTGGGATAAATATGTATAAAGGACAGAAAGAATAGTCAGTGTTGCTGTAAGTGTCATCACAGGACTCAGGATGGAGGCAGGAAAATTAGGAGTTCAAGGCTAGCCTCAACTACATAGAGTGTCTGAAGCCATCCTGGGCTACATAAGATTCTGTTTCAAAACAATAATAAAGAAAAAAACACAATAGCCAATATTTAACAGGGTCAGAAAAGCACAACAAAAGCCAAGTAAAGGGGTCTGGAGAAGGAGGACTAGATCTGGAAGATGGGCAAGGAGAGAGGAAGTGCTCCCTGGGAACTTGAGTTTCCTGTCTGAGTCAAACACACAGGTGGGCTTTGGCCTGGCTTAGGCTTTGGGAACTGGGCTGCTTTGCTGTTGGACTCCACTCAGGAGCCATTATCCAGCCCACAGCATTCTTTCCTGATACGCCTGGTAGCTGGGTATCTAGTTAGTCTTGTTTCCTGCTGCCTGCCCACCCGAGTGCTGTAAACCATACATGTAAACTGTTCATTTCCAACTGTCAATGAAAGGTTGGGGCAAAACTGATATTGAGTTCTTAAAGTGACTTTGAAGTCCTCTGACTCCTTTGATGAGAAAGGAAGCGGGACATAAGAAAGGACAGGGAAATGACAATAGAACTGTTTTATTTGCGAGCTCTGACTAACGGTAGTGATAGTCCTCTCCATCCGTACCTTACATGCCACACCCTTACAAGGAGACAAAGTCATTTTTAATGTGAACAGTACAAAGGATGTTGCCCTCCTTTCCAAAACCACGAACAGCAAGAGTATCCCTTTAAACAGGAGTTTCTGTCATATGAATCTTGACCATTCCAGTGCATCCTTGTAGAAATATCAGTGTGTTCCCTGAGTCTAAGCACACGTCACCACCAGTGTTGCTGTGTGGGGACGTCTGCCTGCCTCTTGGCCTCACATGAGTGTAAGGCATGGCTGATTTTTTTTCTTTGATGCATAATTTAGAAAATGATTTAAGTGTGCTTACGTGCATGAATCTTGTTGAGACCTGAGTTGTCTATTAGATAATTTGTTCCTGTCACTGTCCAAGAAGAATCTGTGTCCTCTTATACCATTGAGGGCTTAGGCTCTGAGTTCAAAGCAAATGTTCTTCAGGTCTTCTGTGCCGTTACTAATATTTTGTTTTAATTGTTTTTTTTTGGGGGGGTTGGTTTTTTGAGACAGGGTTTCTCTGTTGTTTTAAATTTTTATTTTTATGTTGTGTCTGGGTATTTTTCTGGATGTTCTTTTCTTTTCATTATAAATAGGCTTTCTTGGGTTATTATGTTAATGAAACACCAACAGACCCACTGTGTATAAACACAGGGGTGAAGGCAAGAACATACCTCATGTATTTTCTGCTGTGTTCATGGTGTTTGGAGGAGTACCTGGGACACAAACAACCAGCACTCAAGCATTGCTTGTTGGCCACTGTTGAATGCTGAGGGTGAGATTCTGTGCCTTAGGTCCCTCTCTTTTCCCTCATAAATGCCAGGGTCAAGGTGTTATTTATATAACCACCGACTTTAAAATACATGTTCTTGCAGGTGATCTCTATGTGAGGTTTGTAATCTTTTCTACCTTTCTTGGCAGATCATCTGTACAGAAGCTAGGAATGGAAACATTTGAGGAGGTCTATGATTACCTCAAGAGAGCAAGGCATCAGAATGCTGGAGAAGCAGAGATCTGGAACCATCTGGAGACGGTGGTTCCTCGGGCCAGTGACTGCTTTGAAGTTGACCAGCTCCTCTATTTTGAGGAGTTGTTGTTGAGTACAGAAGGAAAAGATCCCACTCTCCAGTACCTGCACTGTGAAACTGCCCAAATGAAGCCTGTCAAGGGCACACATTTCTGTGAAAATTCATGAAGTTTACTGTCTGTACTATATGGCGGGAAACTAGTAAGTAACTAGAACTACAACCCTCCCCTTTGGCTCCTGGTCAAAGGTAAGGATATCTATGGAAAGGAAAGCACTTGGCTGGCTGCCAGGGCTTGGAGTCACAGGTCAAGGTCATCGATGAAGTCTGGCACCCTGAAAGGCTTTCTTTCAGGTGTACAGCCCTCAGGGTTTCCAATAGGGCGGGAGTACTCTGAAGACACAGGTACTCTGTACTGTGTCCATCCAGGGCAAGCCCAGTGCCTGACCACTGTGAGATCCAGGAACTATGGCCAGCTTGCTTGTGACGGCTACTGGACCCCAGCCTGGACAATGGCCTGTTCATCTCCAATGATATATTGTTGATCAACACTCTTTTCTTTCTATGTCTAACATGCAAGCAGTACATAAATCTAAGGGCTTAGATTGAAAAATCCCAAAAGCATCTCCTTTCTGTGATTTATTCCCAAAACTTACTTGTAGAGCATTAAAGGCTTTTTAAAAAACATTTTATTGGTTATTTTATTTATTTACATTTCATATGTTATCCCCCTTCCCAGTTACCATTAAAGGCTTTATTCAGAATAAATACAGGTTTTATCATTATAAGACAAATCTCCTATTTTATCTTTTTCTTATCTTACAGTGTTTCTCAACTTGTGGGTCATGACCCCCTTGAGGTTGCACATCAGATATCTTGCATATCAGATATTTTCATAATAGTGGCAAAATTACAGTTATGAGGTAACAGTAAAATAACTTTCTGGTTAAAGGTCACTACAACATGAGAAACTATATTATCATTAGGAAGGTTGAACATTACTATTATGTAATCCTGTATTGTTAAATGTAACAAATCCATGCAAAGGTATTTTTTGCTTAACTTTGCTTGCTGTTTGTTACTACTAAAACATAAAAAATTACACACAGATGAGGTATCAGTTGGTGTTTTGAAGGTTTAATTGCTTTATATATTTGAGTGTTTTGTCTGCATGTTTGCATGTGTGCCGTGTTTCTGTTGCTGTTATAAAATACCATTGCCAAGTTGGGGAGGAAAGGGTTTATTTCGCTTATACTTTTACATTGTAGTCTATCATTGAAGGAAGCCAAAGCAGGAACTCAAACAGGACTGGAACTGGGAAGCAGGAGCTGAGGTAGGCCATGGGGACAGAGAGTGCTGTTTACTAGCCTGCTCTTCATGGAAGCTTGCTCAGCATGTCTTCTGATAGAACTCAGAGCATAAAGTCAGGGGTGGCACCACCCACAGTGCGCCAAGAGCCCCTATGCCATCAATCACCAATTAAGAAAATACAGACTTTCCTACAGTCGAATCTTATGAGCTCATTTTCTCAATAGAGGTTTCCTCCTCTGATGAATCTAGCTTGTGTCAAGTTAACATAAAATTAGCTAGTACACTGTGCAAGCCTGGGGCCTGCATAGTGTGTGTGTGTGTGTGTGTACACGCACGTGCGCGCTTGCGCGTGCGTTCGTGCATGACTTTATTATACTTAAGTCACACAAGCTGTCTCCCCAGGCATCAATTATTTCTTTTATTAATAAAATTTTTATTCTTTGAACATTTCATACATTTATAAAATGTATTTTATGTCAACTTGACAGGATTAGGATCGTCTGGGAGGAAGGAAACTTAATTTAAAAGAAAAAAAAAACCTCCATAGGATTGATTGGCCTATAGACAAGTCCATGGGACATTTTCTTGATTGGTGAGTAGCATGAGAGGGCTCAGCCCATTGTGGGCTATGCTACGTCTGAGCAGGTGGTCCTGGGATGTATAAAAAGCTAAAGTGAGAAATCCAGGAAGAGAAAGCCAGTAAGGAACTGTCCCTTGGCTTCTGCATCAGCCCTTGCCATCAGGTTCCTACCCTTCTTGAGTTCCTGCTCTGGCTTCCCTTGGTGGCAGATTGTGCTATGAAAGTACAAGCTGAAAGAAACCCATTCCCTCCCCAAGTTGGTTTTGGTTTTATATTAACTAAGACAACGTCCATCCTCCACTACCTTCCTCCAACCTTGTGCACCCCACCCCATCACTCTCCCAACTTCATGCCCTCCTTTCTTTGTTGTTGTCTATAATGATAATTTTTACTCAGAGAAGGTAGCAAGGAGGAGACCTCACTCCAGGAAGAGTCCTTTGGATACCCCAGGCCCTTTGATGACCAACCAGATAGCAAACTGCTCAGAAGATGGAGTTGCTATAAAAAGAAGCCAGGTTAATTGTCTAGTCTCTTTGATGGCGGTTTTTATAATTTTAGAATGGAATAATGCTTGCATTAGTTGCATTAGTCTGTAGAATAATTCATAATGTGCCCAGAGAACAATGTCTTGCATTTAAGAATATGTTTTTAAGAAGATAGAAGAAGCGGGGGTAATAGTCTACCCTCCAGAGATTTGTGTTGTGTACCATACCAGACTTAGGGGAGCCAGAGTAATGGAGGTTGGGAACATAGCCTCTTAGAGATGCTCACTGGAATTTACTTCTCCTTAGTTCATTGGTGAGGAGCAAGATTTGACCTGACTTCAAAAAGATATCTGCCATTACATCTTTCTCCTTCAGCAATACAGTCTTAATTTTGGGCTACTGCTGTGTGGATATTAATAATCAATGGAAGATAACAGGTATGAGCTTTGCTGCTCTCTCTGTCTGTCTCTTGTCTGTCTCTGTCTGTCTCTGTCTGTCTCTGTCTGTCTGCCTCTCTCCTCTCTCTCTCTCTCTCTCTCTCTCTCTCTCACACACACACACACACACACACACACACACACACTCTACCTTCAATTTATACAGAAGAAATGTCACCAGCTACCCAGCTATTTTGGGTGATGCAGAACTAAAGCTCACCAGGGAGAGCTATGGAAGTTAATAATTTAATGGCTTTGAGGCTGGGGCTAGAGCAAATGTTCTAGGTCTGAGTCAGGCCATCACCCTGGGGCTGACACATTCAACTATAGCCCACAGGCAAAGACACTACAATCTTCCTTAAGATGAGACATCAACTAGCATGTTAAAAGAAAGTAGGACCCAGCTACTGGGAGACTAAAATGGAATGAAACAAAGAGAAGGAACAAGTGTGTGTGTGTGTGTGTGTGTGTGTGTGTGTGTGTGTGTGTGTGTGTGT